TCCCACGTTTCCTCCTCCTGACTCCTCCCCCGCTGTTTTCCCCAGTTCTCCGCCTTTGTCCTCTCCTCCTCCGTCTCGTTCTTGGGCTACTCGTCGCTCCCCTCGTGCTCGTCCCTCGTCTCCTGTTCCCTTCACTGACCTTCGTACTGCCTTCCTTCTTTCTAGTCCACCTCGTCCGTCTCAGTCTGTGCTTCCGTCTCCTCCTGAGTCGGCCCTCACTGTGTCGCTCCCTACTCCTGTCACTGACTACTACCGCACGTACCGTCCTGTTCTCTCTCGTGTTCTCACCTCTCTTGTTACTCACCCTCGTGCCTCTGTGTCCTCTGTGTCCGCTCTTACTGCCGCAGTTACTGACTTTGCCTCTACCCGTCGCCTTGACTACGCCACCACGCTTGTGGCTGCTCCTCCTACCAGTCCTCTGGCCGTCGGGGGTGTGTCTGCCCTTGGCTGTGACGCCCTAGAGGACAGGCAGTTTGAGCTAGAGTTCCTGGCGGCCGCTTCCCCTCATCTCTGTGCCATGCTCCTCGCCCCTGAGGGTGACCCCGACGCCCTTGACATTCCGACTCCTCGCACTTACGCTGAGGCAGTGTCAGGGCCTTGGGCCTCTCAGTGGAGAGCTGCCATGGACGCAGAGATGGCCTCCTACAGATCCACAGGCACCTACGTCGATGAGGTTCCCCCCCCTGGGGCGAACGTAGTCGACGGCATGTGGATCTACAGGGTGAAGCGGCCACCGGGATCTCCCCCGGTCTTCAAGGCGCGCTACGTGGCTAGAGGTTTCAGTCAGCGCGAGGGAGTTGACTTCTTTCAGACCTTCGCACCTACCCCGAAGATGACCACTCTTCGGGTGTTACTACACGTAGCAGCACAGAGAGACTACGAGTTACACTCTCTTGACTTCTCCACTGCTTTCCTTCAGGGCAGTCTACACGAGGAGGTCTGGTTGCGTCGTCCCTCGGCCTTCACTGGCACTTTCCCTCCTGGGACCCAGTGGAGGCTGAGGCGACCTGTTTACGGTCTTCGCCAGGCCCCTCGTGAGTGGCACGACACTCTGCGTTCTACCCTCTCTGACCTTGGGTTCCAGCCGTCTTCTGCCGACCCGTCGCTGTTCGTTCGTCGTGGCTCCACACCGTTCTTTGTTCTGGTCTACGTCGACGACCTCGTTTTCGCCACTTCGGACAGGGTTGCTTTGGCAGACGTGAAGTCCGAACTGCAGAAGAGACACACGTGCACTGATCTTGGTGAGCTGCGCCACTACCTTGGCCTGCAGATCACCAGGGACAGAGCCGCTCGCACCATTACACTCTCACAGTCACACATGGTGCAGCAGGTCCTTCAGCGGTTCGGGCTTCAGCACTCCACCGTACAGCGCACACCTCTAGCTGTTGACCACAGACTCACTGGTCCCTTTCCTGACGAGCCGTTTGAGCCTAGTGGTCCCTACGCAGAGCTTGTGGGTTGCCTCATGTACCTGATGACTTGTACTCGCCCGGACCTCGCCTTCCCTCTCAGCATCCTTGCGCGCTTTGTTGCGCCAGGGAGACACCGTCCTGTTCACTGGACGGCAGCTGTGAGGGTGGCGAAGTACCTAGCGACTACATCGTGCGTGGGGCTAGTTCTTGGAGGGCAGCAGTCTGTCGTACTCACTGGTCACTGTGACTCCTCTTACGTTGACGACGCTGAGACTCACAGGTCTACTCAGGGGTACTGTTTCAGTCTGGGTTCTGGAGCTGTTTCCTGGCGTTCCACGCGCTCCTCTTCTGTCTCGACCTCTACAGCTGAGGCTGAGATTTACGCTGGTGCCATGGCGGCACAGGAGTTGCGGTGGTTGACCTTCTTGCTCGCCGACCTTGGTGAGCGGCCGAGCTCTGCACCGACCTTGTTTACTGACAACAAGGCGTCGATCCTCCTCTGTCGTGAGCCGCGACTGGAGAGCAGAGTGAAGCACATTCACGTCAGGTACTTTCTTCTGCAAGAGTTGCAGAGGCGTGGACAGGCTCGCTTCGAGTTTGTAGAGTCCGAGGCCAACACTGTAGACATCTTCACCAAGGCGCTTCCGCCTTGTGACCACCAGAGGTGTTGTGTGCAGTTAGGCCTTGTTGACACAGGTTCTAGTCATGCGTAGACTTGAGTTTATTGCCTGCTTCGTCTGTACACTTACTATATATACTTGTGATCTCTTGGACTGGCCTTGTGGCCACTGTTGCTTGTGCTCAGAGTGTGTGGTGACGTTGTGATCCACCCTGAGCTTTGTTTTCTTTTGGACTGGTCTTGTGACCGTACTCTTTTTTTTGTTTTTGCTAGACACCCCTCACTTAGGCTATGGGGGTGTGTCAAATGTTGTAGCCTGTAGTGAGGTTTGTCTTAGGGGGTACAGAAGTTAGGGTTTGTCATATGTACCCCAACCAACATCAATGCAACATCCATTCCTCATTCTGACACAAAGGTCGCTGACCTTTGACTTTCGCGTAACCTCCAGCGGTTACTTCAACCTCCGAGGGTTGACTCGCTGGTGCCTCGATATGCTTTGCTTCGCTTGTGCCTTAGTGTTTCGACACGACAGAGGCGCTTAGGAACGATTGTTTCCAACAAGCTGCATGTGGTGCATCTTGAGCTAAGCACAGCTTTCTCTTCCCTGACATACTTACTTCCTGACTTACATCAGACTTTCATCTTATAGGTTCGTTTCTAAGCTTTGTTTACATTTTTCATAGATGTATACTAAACCGTGGTTCCAGAGATTTCTTATTTCAATCCCTACCCCTCCCCGCCTCCCGCCCTCTTCTCTTTGATCAGCCTAGTGTTTGGTATATCGACTTACGCCCTCACTTCTTTGGCTCATTGACTTACACCCTCTCAAGTATTAGCCGCACTCAAACTGCTTGGCCTCACTGAAGTACAACCTATCGATGTCTTGTGATTGCATGGTTGATTTTGCTACTACCTGGTTTTCCATTCCTAAGGCCAAAAACACCATAATCTCACTGTTGTAGTCCCTGTCCCTGAACTGAGGTGCCACTGTTCCTTTGTCATACTCGCGCTGAAGTCGAGGTTTCACTAACGAGGTTTATTCGGAATTTTGAAACCGTGTCGCATGTTGACGTTACTACGAACATTCTCAGGGAGGGCTCCCGAATGTGAAGTTCGGTCACAGGAAAGCTCCTGAGAACAAATGCTCCACCACGAGTCGTCGAAGTTGTTAAGAAGTGTCGAACGAGCATAGGCGAAAACGATTTACTCCGATGGAGCTCGCCATGTTCTCTGTGACCCCAGGCTGATGACTTTCGTGCCATTTTGACGAAACATCAGTTCGAATGTCTCACGTTACAACTGTAGTGTGAATGCTGGGCAATCCCCAGGGCACCTTGGAGTGACTTTGTGGATCCGCCCTAAGTGAGTTCCACAACGTTTCCGTTGTTGTTCGATTCCGCCTGGTTTCCTGCTTCTACGAATCGAGCTCCCATTGCTGCTAGTATTAGCTTTCCTCGACGCCACGAGCACGTAGCTCAGCCAAGCCTGTACACGTCCTCTCACTGAACAGATCAGAAGCGTTTGACAGATACACGTATCAAAGAGCTTTGCATTTCTATTCGGTTTCCAGCCCGCAATCATCCGTCTTAATGCGAACGTGATGTCGTTTGTTCTGTGCCGTCGATTAGACGGCAGAAACACGGACAATTCCGAGGCCCGTGCGGAGAAGCTGAAAGCATAATCAGCGTCGTTTGAGGCGCCTCAAAACCCCCCCGCGGAGATCCGCAACGCATCCTCAATGTCAGGCTCGGACGGAGGGAATAATGGGGGAGCGAGGAGGCGTTCTGCCGTCGACTCGAGCCTCGGCTCGCCGAACCTCGAATCGCCGAGCCTCAAGAAGTCACGCCTGGTTTCGTCGAGCCTAGGATTGCCGAAAGAATCATCGAAGCAGAAGAAGGGGGAAGCTGGGGCGAAAAAGAGGGTCGAGCGGCGTGGAACTCTCGACTCGTGGGTGAAGCGACTCAAGCCGTCGACCGCTGACCCCGCGCGTGCAAGCCCGGCTCAGTGCCACGGCGCTCCAACATGCCAGTTCCAACTCCTTGAAACCTCCGAAAATCCTTCTTCCAGTCATAAAGACGGTCCCTTTCCTAGTAGCCGAGATCCTAGATCGTGTCCGCTTCGTGAGGCTCAGTGCACGGCCGCGTTGAGGCGATGCGTTGATGCGCCGGACTCGGAGTTGGTGCGTGAGAAATCGTTAGAGTTGACTCAGAAGTCACTCCGATCCTCCGGTGCTCCGATGCATCCGATGCCTGCGAAGTCCCCCTCGTGTGACCTTGGGAGCGAATCGTGTAGAGCTGGGAGCGCATGCGACTCACCGGGTCGCGCGTTGATGAATTTGGACTCGGATGATCGCCGCTGCAACGCGCCGCCGTCGGCCACGTGCGAGGAGCCAATTGGAGCGACGGACCGCCTTGTGACGTATAGGAGAATCCGTCGAGTGATGGCCGACGGCGGGTGAGTGAAGGTTGATGGCGGGTGAGTGAAGGCTGACGGCGGGTGAGTGATAGTTGACGGCAAGAGTGAAAGAAATGGCGTGCGAGAAGGCGGATGGAATATGTTATTTGGCGGATGGTTGACGGTTCACAGCAAGAGCGGAAGGAATACACGGGCCGTCGTTTCCTGATTCTTTTATTTTATTCATCCGCATATTCTTTCATGTCAACTCCCTTTACAGCCGCAAAATTTCCTGGGTCTTGAATGACCAGAACCTGCTTGTACCGTGTCAAACATGATCAGACCGTTTCTCACCTTTATGACGATTGGCTTTCAGAAGCAGGGACGCGCTCCGGCATGTGCTAGGCAGCTCCACACCAGGCCGCTCTTTTGGCGATTCACCTGACTTTTCTCCTGAAGCGTGCAACGTTTTCACAACCAAAAAGGCCGTTGCATCAGCAGCCGCAGCAACCATTCCAAGTAGATGTACCTTGAGGCTGCCTACGAGAACAGCTTCTATCGCGGATATCAAAGCCATGTCGGCTCCTGCGTTGTCAGCGTCAGAAGAACGTCCACGTGGCACCTCCACATTGATCTTCTGGTTAAGGCAGGGGAATAGCTCCAGGAAGGAGAGGTCAGGCGGAGCATCGTGTCCGTCGGATGTGCCTCGAGTGGACGATGAATACGAGATCCAACGGCTGAGGAAATCGAAGGTGAAGCGCAAGGCAGAGGCGAGCACAGGGGATGACGAGCACAGAAGCATTGAGGAACAGCAGGAGCTGGCGCATCAGCGGGTGGAGCAGCAGGGGCTGGGGCAGCAGGAGCGAGAGCAAGAGCAAGAGCAAGCACGGCAGGAGGGGCTGGAGCAGGGGCGGGAGCAGGCAGGGCAGTTGGAGCAGAATATCGAGAGGCGTGGTGAGGATGAGCGGCAGGAGGGTGTGCACGAGGGGCGAGATCAGACGCACTCGCTGCGATTGCAGGAGGAGCTTCCGACAAGTCCGAGAGAGCATTCGACAAGTCCGAGAGAGGCCCATACTCTGCTGGAACAGCTGGGTTCGGAGCGGCCGGAGCAGCTGCTGCAGCAGCGGCCGCAGCAGAAACAGCAGCAGCAGCAGCAGCGGCAGCGGAAGCAGGTGCAGGCGTGTTTGGACTTTGGGCAGAAGGACCTGCTGCACACCACGTGCCGTGTGTGCGGATTCGTGTTTGCTAAAGGTCTCAAGGCGGACGAGATGGCACACGATGCACACCACAGATTGTTCTGCGGCACTGTAATAATTCAGGTGAGAGGGGTGCTGTAGTGGACTTAGGAGGCAGGTGCAGGCGTGTTTGGACTTTGGGCAGAAGGACCTGCTGCACACCACGTGCCGTGTGTGCGGATTCGTGTTTGCCAAGGGGCTTAAAGCGGACGAGATGGCGCATGAGGCGCATCACAAGCTGTTCTGTGGCACTGTCACCATCCAGGTGAGAGGAGGGGTGCTGTAGGATCGCCTAGACCAGGGACCTGCTGCACTGCACGTGCCGTGTGTGCGGATTCGTGTTTGCCAAGGGGCTTAAAGCGGATGAAGCAGCACATGACGCACATCACAAGCTGTTCTGTGGCACTGTCACCATCCAGGTGAGAGGGGGTGCTGTGCAGATGCCTAGACTCTTGATATATGAGACACGTGCTGTGTGTGCGGATTGGTGTTCGCCAAGGGGCGCAAGGCGGACGAAGCAGCACACGACGCACACCACAGGTTGTTCTGCGGCACTGTGACTGTTCAGGTGAGGAGTGGGGAGGCGGGGTCCAAGTGCGTGGATTGGTGCTTGCCAGAAAGCTCATTCCGCGTATGTTTCTTGAGAATTCTCACAAAACAGAAATCTCATGAACGGCGGCTCAAGCTGTTCCGAGGCTCCGCATCCGGGCGGAGAGAAGGGCAGGAGATTTGTTGAGCTGAAATCACTTTTGAGAATTCTCAAAAGTGATTTCAATAGAGAAGGGCAGGAGATTTGTTAAGAAACAAACATACGACCATCTCTGGGATAGCATACGACTTCTTGGTAAGAGGGTGTGGGGTGCGTGTGTTGTGTGTGCACGCATGTGTGGCTGTATGGGACAGCAAGGGACTGCTGCACATACGGTCGGCATAATAATCCATTGTTTCTGTTACCATGTTACCAGATGCGTGTGAAGAGTTACACCGTGCAACGGAGTGATACCCGCTCTTTCTTCTCCTTTCTTGGTGGCACGTGTGTGTGAGTGCAGGGACGGAGGAACGAGGTAATAATATTTTTGTTTCTGTTACCAGATGCGTGTGAAGGCAAATAGGTGCAGCAGAGTAAAACCCACTCTTTCCTCCCCTTTCCCGGTGACTTTGCGCACGTGTGTGTGTGTGAGTGCAGGGATGGAGGAACGAGCGCGTTGTGCACACTGTTTCAGAGAGCACTAGGGACACACGCAACGCATGCTCCACAGGAGCAGGGGCCGCAGAGACCGCAGCAGGCAGAATAGTGCTCATCACCCACGCAGACTGCACAGCTGTGCAGCTGGCAAAGGTGCGTTACTGTGCGCTTGACAGCGGTGCTATCTGTGCACTGCAGTGCACTGTGCTGCGGTGCGGTGCGGTGCGGTGCGGACTGGTGAGTAGCATGTGGATGCCTGGCACCACAGGCACCCTGCTCTGCGATGCTCGCGATGCTGTTGCTGACTGCAACTGAGGCCCTCACTGTTGCTGACTGCAACTGAGGCCCTCACTGTTGCTGACTGCAACTGAGGCCCTCACTGTTGCTGACTGCAACTGAGGCCCTCACTGTTGCTGACTGCAACTGAGGCCCTCACTGTTGCTGACTGCAATTGAGGCCCTCACTGTTGCTGACTGCAACTGAGGCCTTCACTGTTGCTGACTGCAACTGAGGCCCTCATTGTTGCTGACTGCAACTGAGGCCCTCACTGTTGCTGACTGCAACTGAGGCCCTCACTGTTTTTTTCACCTTCTTCCTCTCGACAATTTGACTGCACACCTGAAATGGACGCGCGTATCTCTACCTCCCCACTTTTTTCTGCTAACACATCTCTCATCTCTCCTTCCCCGTATCTATGCACTCAATCCCCCCCACACCTGTGTTCCTTATCCCATCCAGGTGCATGAAATAGCGGCAGTGTTGGAGAGGGCAATGGGTGTGAGTCCCACGTGGCTGCTGCTGGCACTTTTCTCACCTCTTTCGCCTTGCCTCTCTGCGCCCTATCCCCTTATCGTACCATCCAGATGCAAGAAATAGCGGCGGTACTGGAGAGGGGAATGGGTGTGAGCCCCACGTGGCTGCTGGGCGGCCAATGGAAGGTGAGCAGCAGGAGGGTGGGGTTGGGGGTGAATCCGGAGAATTCCAAGGCTGTTTTGGATGAGGGGTAAGGTTGGATTGGCGGAGAGGCAAGTGCAGGTGAGGGACAGAGGAGTGGGATGAGGATTGTTTCAAGCTGTTCTTTCTTGAACAAGCCGGTGCCGGGCTTCAGGTGAGAGTGCTGGAGAGGGCAATGGGTGTGAACCCCACGTGGCTGCTGGGCGGCCAATGGAAGGTGAGCATCAGCGGGTGTGTTGAGGGAGGGGAGGGGTGTTGTCTTGCTGTGCTGGTCTTGAACGAGACGGCACCAGGCTTCAGGTGGGAGTGTTGGAGAGGGGCATGAGCGTCACACCCACGTGGCTGCTCTGTTGGGCGGCCTGAGGAAGGTGAGGATCCTGCCACCCACGTGGCTGCTCTGCTGGGCGGCCTGAGGAAGGTGAGGATCCTGCCACCCACGTGGCTGCTCTGCTGGGTGGTGTTAAACCTGCCTTCTAACCCTCCCTCCCCACTTCTACACACCGTAACGATCCCTCGCCCCACACACTCTCCCCGTCCCTCCTCTCACTCTCCCGCACACCCTCCCTCGTCCCTCTCTCCCCACACACTCTCCCCATCCCTCGTCCCTCTCCCCACACTATTCCAATCCCTCCTCGCTCTCTCTCCCACAGGCGTATCTGTACATTCGTGGGAGGCAGCTGGTGGGGTGCCTTGTGGCCGAACCCATTTCCCAGGCGCACCCAGCATTAGCACGTTACATCCCATGTGCCATTGTAGCGAGGTGTATTTTGTCAACTCAAAGGTTTCACCACTCCTCATTGCTCTCTCTCCCACAGGCGTATCTATACATTCGTGGGAGGCAGCTGGTGGGGTGCCTTGTGGCCCAACCCATTTCCCAGGCGCGCCCAGCACAGGCATGTTCTATCCCACCGCATTCACTAGATCACACTCCAGCAAAAGCAGCAGCGGCTTTTGGGGCGCCTCAAAAGTTGTCCCAGGCGCGCCCAGCACAGGCATGTTCCATCCCACCGCATTCACCAGATTGCACTCCAGCAACAGCAGCGGCGGCAACAGCAACAGCAAGAGCAGTAGAAGCAGCAGCAACAACAGCAAGAGCAGCAGAAGCACCAACAGCAGCCGCAGCAGCAGCAGCAGCAGCAGGAGCAGAGTCGGTGTCAATATCAACAGGAGCAACAGAAGCAACACCACAACTACCATCAGCAGCAGCAGCAGCAGCAGCAGCAGCAGAAACGCCGTCGAAAGGTCAATCAGGGTCTCTCGAGCCATGCATCGGTCAACCATACAGCCTTTCGGGGCGCCTCCAAAGTCCTCTCGAGCCATGCAACGGTCAACCATACAGCCCCACACCGTGTGGTGCTGAAGCAGGCACGGTCACACCTCACAACGTATCCTTATGCATCTCCAAAACACGCTGCACACCACACGCTTCTGCCTCTGAACCTGCAAACGAGCCGAGTGCAAGGGTGTGTGGCTCAAGGGAAGCGCCACAACAACCAGTGGAGCATCACATTCGTGGGGCTCCTCAGGAAGAGATGCAAGAAGGCCTGCTGTGTGCAGCTTCGAACCAGCCAAGTGCAAGGGTGTGTAGCTCAAGAGAAGCGCCAGAGCAACCAGCAGAGCAACCAGCAGAGCAGCTGTTTCGTGAGGCTCCTGAAGAGAAGGAGCAAGAGGACGAGATGTGTGCAGCAGTGTGTGGAGTGAGAGCCATCTGGGTGCACCCAGCGCACAGGAGGAGAGGCGTTGCCACTGAGATGATGAAGGCTGTGAGGTGGGTTGCACGCATGTGTGTGAGTGTGTGGGGGAGGGGTGGGAGGGAGGGTGGTAGGGTTGTGCGTGCGCACGCGGTGACGGCAATATGGGTGCACCCAGCGCACAGCAGGAGCAATGTTGCAACTGAGATGATGCAGGCTGTGAGGTGGGTTGCACGCATGTGTGTGAGTGCATGTGCGTGCATGAGCGCGCGCGCACGCATGTGCTTGTGATAGTGTGCATGTGTATGCATGTGTATGCATGTGTATGCATGCATGCATGTCGCATGCATGTCTGTGTGTGTTCATCCTCTGTACCTTCCATGCAACATTATCCCTCTCCCTTCTCTCTTCCCATTCATTCATCCCTTCCCCACAAGCAGCTGATCACACTCTCTTTCACCTCGCCCATGCGCTCTCACTTTTCCCATGCTCTCCATCTCACATTCACAATGTTTTGTTTCATCCTACTACATTCCAACCCTAACCCATTTTCATCACTTCCCCTCCACTGCAGCATCTCCTATGTCCATGCCTGCTCACTCTCCCCGTCTTTCCTCTCACTTTCCCCTCGCACCCGCTTGATTGGCCACCTTCCTTCCCCCTCTCCCCACCCCCTTTGCCTGCCGAGTACATCACCTTTGCCTGCTCACTCTGCCCATCTTGCCTCTCCATCTTGCCTCACCATCTTGCCTCTCCATCTCTCACTGCCTCCTCCCCCACCTCCTTCCCCCCCTCCCGCTGCCTGCCACACATCCCCCCCACCACAGCGTCTCCTTCCCCTATGCCTGCACGCTCTCACCAACCAACTCCCCACTTTTTTTCCCCTTTGTCAACCACCCCCCTTTTCCCCCTCCCCTCCCAACTGGCCCACCCCTGGCCGCTCTTGCTTGGTGTTCATTCCACTGCACCATCGCCTTCCCCTATGCCTGCTCTCTCAAGGATCGATTCCTCTCATTTCTTGCCCGCACCCCCTTTCCTGGTCATGTCTCAATTCTCCATCCCCCCATCCCATTGTCTTGCCATCCCCCCATCCCATTGTCTTGCCATCCCCCCATCCCATTGTCTTGCCATCCCCCCATCCCATTGTCTTGCCATCCCCCCATCCCATTGTCTTGCCATCCCCCCATCCCATTGTCTTGCCATCCCCCCATCCCATTGTCTTGCCATCCCCCCATCCCATTGTCTTGCCATCCCCCCATCCCATTGTCTTGCCATCCCCATTCCACCGCAGCATCTCCTTCGCCTATGCCTGCACGCTCGCACTGACTCAGATCGCATTCTCGCAGCCAACCGAGTCAGGCAGGGCCTTCACTGCTGCGCCTGACCATTTCTCACTTCCTTCCCCCACACCCCCTTCTTCCTTCCACTACCCGACCATCCTCTTTTACTGCAGCGTCTCCTTCGCCTATGCCTGCCAGCTCTCATCGACTCAGATTGCATTCTCGCAGCCAACCGAGTCAGGCAGGGCCTTCGCTGCTGCGCTCTGCCGTCCCAAGCCCTTCCTGGTGTACAAATAATACTTGCTGGTGTTTCACATGTGGTTTGATCAGTTAATCAGTTGATCAGTGTTGATCAGTTAACAAAGAGGGATCGCCACACAAGTTCCACAAATGGGTGTGTCCATTATTGTTTCATTCTTTGCAATTTCTAAGTTAATGAAAATCAGAGTCAGGCCCTCAGATTCACTTTTAGGCACGTAAGAGTATCAGGGTCCCTCTGCCCCTAGACCCTGATCGTCAGGCTCGCCTAAAAAAAGTCTGAAAGTTCAGTGTTACTTAAAAAAAAAGAGTCTGATGCATCAGTGTTCCCTACAGAAAAAGGCTGATACTAGTAGTCTTTATTTTACTAGTACCGTATCCCCCCGGATATACCCCCATGGGGGGCAATAATAAAACAGGTTTTTTCATGGGGGTGGGCTTATAATCGAGTAAATTTATAAGCGCCGGCGTTTATAAAATGACATACATATTTTTTTATATCTTTTAACACCAAACTGTAGGTCTCGTGCTTGCCTTTTCAATCGAGTCGAAGTTACATGGGATCGTCTGTGAAATTCTCGCGCGCGCTGGGAGATACACCCAATCTGACTCACATCCAGCTCCTGACAGGTCCTGCTGACTGGACCCGCATCCAGTGCAGGGTCCGAATGTGAAGGGAACCGATTCTGCAACATATCCGCCTGCTAAAGTAAAAATCGTTACAGCTTTTTGAACACATTTCAAATTTTAAAGTTTACGTGCGCTTATAATAAAACAAGTTTTTTCAAGGGGTGCGCTTATAATCGAGGAGGGGATATAAGCGCCATATGCCAATTAGAAGCGCCAGGCGCTTATCCTAGGGTGGCGCTTATATCCGGGGGGAGACGGTAGTAAAAACACTAGGAAGGAAGCAAACAGCACAACGGGATGTGAGGCTGGATGGCAGGTAGCACGGCTGGGAGGCGTGGATGCATCAGTGCTTGCCAGCACGACCTAGACCGCCAGAATCCCTCGCAGCGCAGCCTGCCAGCATCTCTGTGCTGCAACCTTGTAATTGGTCAAGTCACTTAATGTTGCAAATGTGGCCAATGAACGGACCAGGCGCGCCAACTAAGGGGCCATCACTGTGGGCAAAATTGTCCAATAGTCAACGACAGGCCCTGCTGACACCGCGGGAATCTGATTTTCCCAGTACTTCCGGTCAAGTACACTCGTACCTAGTAGGATTCGCTTTTAGGGTCAAACTCGTTACAACGTTAAGGCATTAGTGTCACTTCAAAAAAATTGCTGAAATTTCAGAGTCATGTGGCATGTGAAGGCTGAAAAATCAGCCCTAGGAAAAGCTGAACACTGGATTTTCAGGGTAGGTAAAAAAAAAAACCCTGAAAATCAGGAATTTCAGGGTAAAATTCCTGATATCGTAGGGCCTGATCAGAGTGGTGCACAACTATACTAATGTTACAGCACAGCATACATGAGAAAATCTTAGGGCCATGTATTGGTCCTTATGCAGTGAACCATGGAACCACTATCTATTTACCAGCTGAAGGGAATGCATACGAGACTATGAGTACATATACAGTGCACCTCCCATATGCTGCTGTGTTGTGTTGTGTCATCAGCTGCTGCTTTTCCTGTCACTGCTGTTGTGGCTGCTTCTGCTGATGATCACTGCTGTATTTCCAATCAAATATATGTAAGATGGTTTGTAGCGTTGTGTACTCTGGCAACAGCCTCTGCTAGAGTTACTCCTGATCAGGTGCTTCCTTTTGAGGCGCCTCAAAAAAGTCTCTGCTAAAGTTACTCCTGATCATGTGCTTCGTTTAGAGGCGCCTCAAAACAGTCTCTCTGCTAGAGTTACTCCTGATCAGGTGCTTCTCCTCCTGTGGCTGTTGCTGCTGGTCTATCCACCACCACCGCTGCTGCTGCGTCTGCTTCAGTTGCTGCAGCTGCTGCAGCTTCTCCCAATTCCACCGATATTGCGTTGCTGGCAGGCTTACCAGCTGGGTGATTCTGCCCTTCACCACTGCGAGATGTGACTAAACTCGGTGTTATTATAGCGGGGACATTTGAATCGAGTAGAGGTGTGAGCTTCTCGCCTGCTGAAGCTGAATCGGCTGCAGGGGAAACTTCTCCAGTTGCAGCTGTAATTGGCGGCTCTGTAGCTGGTGCGTGTGCAACAGACTGGTTAGTAGCAGCTGCGTTTGTAGCAGCGGAGATCACCGTAGAAGTTACTGTAGATTCGACGGCTGCTGAGGTTAACTTCTTGTTTCTCTGGTGCGCCTCCCTGGCATGTGCTGATCTCCCATTGGCTGTGTGCAGACCAGTGCTTCTGATCTGAGCCTCTAGGAGAGTGACACGTGTGTCAATTTCCACCAACCGGCTGCTTCCAAATACCAACCAATAGGTGATCGCGGGATGCAAATCGGATGGCAGAAACGACCGCCAATGATGTTTGTGGGAGGGACGGGACCATGGAGTGGGGTAGTAGGAGGTGAGAGTGGGCGGGAGTGGGGGAGTAGGAGGTGAGGGTGGGCGGGAGTGGGGGAGAAAGAGGGGTGGGGAAGATTGGAATGGGAAAGAAGTGGAGTGAGCGGGAGGGGGAGGGGAATGAGGATAAACGAGGTACGAAAGACGAAGGGAAGGAAACATGTCAGGTGACAGAGCGAGAGGGGAAGGTGAAGCAGGAAAGGGTGAGGACTAAAGGGGAGAAGGTGACACTAGTGCTGGATATCCATGTGACTAGTTCTGCAGACGCTGCTGCAAGCATGCGCCTGCCGCAGAAAGCATGCATGTGCTGCTGCACACATGCATACGCCACAAGTGCTGCAAGTTATCTGGTGCAGTTCATCTTAAATGGTAAAACTCAACTGTTCCTCAACAACAGTAACAAGTAAGCACCAGGAGCGTCAATGGGCTCGCTTGATTCATTTTATGACGCTGGATCAACATGGTATGACGCCTAGTAAAAAAAAAAAAAAAAGACTGCGGCTCAACAACCCATCACGACTTGCCGGGCAGGGTGCATCAAGAGAAACCTCAGCGCGATCGAGGCGACTCACAGGTAGAGCTGCAGCGAGGTGCAGCAACGTGACTCACAGATGCAGCGAGGTGACTCACAGGTGAAGCGATTGGAGTTTAGATTCGCACGACGCGGCGAAGGCGTTGAGAAGCTTCACTGTTCGGTCAACGAAAACATTCACCTGCCATTGCCCGCGCACATCAGTATCGCAACGAGATGGCACGCGAGTTAGGATTCGGTTTCGGTGAGCATTTCACTGTATACCCACGCGCGCATAGCGAGTTCAACAGTTCAAAATCCGTAGATCAAACGTGGGTGGACGAGGCAGGAAGTGACTAGAAATATATGATACTACAGAGGCCAGCGCGTAACCAGAAAGATTGCCTCGCCTGGGAACGACGCAGTCATGTCTAAAGGACTCAAAAATTTCCTCGAGGCGCTCGGAAGGAAATTAATACAGGAGTAGAACAGAATTGGCAGCAATAGCGACCATAGCGACGGGTTATAAGCCGGTGAGGGAAGGAGGGGCAAGTAGGCTCAGAGAAAAGAAGAACAACGGAGGGTGGAAGAGAAGAGCAACAGGCGTCGCAAACGGCACGCGTCGCATCCACGGTGCGCGCCTAGCCTAACCGACTCACAAGAATCACGGTTCGCTGGTCTTCGGGAGCCGCCATAGCAGGCAAGAATGGACACAGCAGAACCGCAGCAACAACAAAACGGAGATAAATATTTACTTGCAACATTTTTACATGGCCGATTGTCAGTTGGCAGTCGGAGTTCGAATCTCATTGGCGATGATATTGACTCTCTGTCGGAGTGGATGATCCACAACCCGGCAACCTCCGAGGAAATTTGCCCCTGCTTGGCACATGGCAGGCTAAAGAGGATTGGAGAACATATGAGCCATAGGTTTTGCTGCTGCTTCTAACCTAACCTACTACTTATCTGCTGCTTCTCACCTACCATACAAGATATTTTGTTGCTTTTGACTGAGGGTCAAAACTGGAGTCTGAACCAGTGAAGCCTCCTGGCCACAAGCCCACGATGATTTGCATCCACATACATTTATACGTTTGTAGAAACAAGAATAATGAAGTAATCACTACATAAGGGACAGGTGGAGGATGCGGTATCACTACATCACCATAATTTTGGTGTAAGACAGAATTACAATGTTGAAGACTTTGTATCTCCACAAACCGTCATCGACCGAATGGTTAGCTCCTCACCGTGGTAGGGTTGATGCGTAGCACCAACGGGAACTTCTTTCTTGCTTGGGACGAGAGCCTCTCATTGGCTCGGAGGGTTTACCCCGAGGCGCTCGTCTGACACCCACGTCTCGGCTCAGCTGTGTAACCGAAAACACCTCAAAGGATGAAATTCATCCGTGTCACATATGCCGACCGAAGTCAAGAAGAGGGCTCTTGACGGCTGCCAGTCACATTTCGTTCTGTCGCCGTCGCTTTTCAGCCACATGTCTCTGGAAAAGCAAACACCTCCCAACCCAAAGTACGCTGCTCTGAGTGATTGACTCTTCAAAACCACACTTCGCCATTCTCCATCGTGAAAAGATTCGTTGCGGTCTGCACTGGAACGGAAGTGCCTGACCAGCTTTGTGTATCGCTGACGCGCGTGCATTCCTCGGGAATGTTGCTGCAGGCTCTGGTGAAGTCGCCGTTCCTGCACCCGAGAAAGTAGGCACGTCATTGGGATTTCAGAAGTCCTTACGACGTCTAAATTATTCTCAGGACTGGTTTCTGTGACGGTTGATAGCCGAAGCCGACGCCTGATTAAACAGCGTGTTGTGCGGCATCGCGGAGATTTTGTCGCACTAGAACTCCCTAGGACGCAGACACTTCATGACAGGAAGCTGCAGAGAGCTCGTCTCCAGCTAGACACCAGTTACAGATAAAAAGCCTTTATACGTAATACTCTGTCGTAGAACATAGACGATAGTAAGCAGTCACGTACTACTAGTGGGAGGACTCCACGGACTCCCATTGTTGACAGCGAGAATCCCTGTCGCCGCTGTAAATACTTCAACGCTTCATATTCCCGTGGCTAGCTTAAACCGGGAAAATATATTATTAATCAATACTTGTTTGATAGCTACCCGAAGTTTCTTTCGTTCCTGATTGGAAGTTTATCATCCATTACGCGCGTAACTGCGAACCGCAGGGATGAGTCACTCACTAGTCGTTTAGTCGCTTACGGTTTCTATTGATCACAAGAGCAGCCGTAGCAGTTTCTCGTTTCCGCCTTGTTATATGGGATATCCATCTGTTGATAGAGAGTGGGAAAGCCAGTCATTGCTAATACACCGACGAAGTATCTCGAAATTGACAATGACCGACGGAAACGATTCTTCCTCTGTCGGCTTCTCCGAATCTTCTCAACCATCCGCCAATGGCTCCTATCCAAGCACCAACGGACACGTCAGCCAGCCTGACGGGTCAGCTACCGCGAAGGCTACGCCAGCTGCTATCCCAGACCGCACAGATGGGCATATGTCCATTGACAATCGCGAATCGAAGACAGACTTTTCGAGGCAAGGCTTGTCACTACAAGGTTCAGCTGATACTTATTCTGGAAAGGCGGCGAAGCTTAGTACGCCAGGTGGGACGGAATCGGCGGAGTTGGCACGACGAGCGAGTTTGGAACGGAACTGGTTGCGACAGTGCGCGCCGATTTTCCTGCATCCGACGCACGACATTCGCGCGGGACACGCGCTCGTGCGCGTGTTTTTCCGCTTCGTGCAGGAGGGGGAGGAGGCGGAAGCCCGCTCGCGCGGAAAGGAATGGACGGACTATATGGCAGGGGGGGAAGATTTCGTGGAATGGGAAGAAGCAGCAGGAGCATGCGGGAAAACCGGGGAACGTGAGGGGGAGAATGGAGTGGAACTAGCGCCAGAGTTAGTAGGAGATGTTGGAGAGAAGGGAGTAGAGGCGAGGGGTGAAGCTGTTAACGGGGATAACGGTGATGACTTGTTGTGCGAGCTGGTGGTGGTGTACGAGGTGAGGCAGGAGAAGTAAGAAGCAGATGCAGTGTACGCTGGACTGGTACACTCTTTTTCTTCTCCAGAATATAGCATGAAACTGGACGAGTGACATGTCGTATCATGTTTACTGACAGCACCTTTCGCCTGACGCGTCTGACATTCTGTTCGTTTTTTATGTAACTGACAGGGCGAGGCGAGCTATCGTCGGCTGAACCCTTATCAGGTCAACCACATGGCCACCTTCTTCTACATGTCATTCAACAAGATAGTGTACGCCTCCCTCCCTTCCAGCTAATCTGTTTCACATCATACCTCGTTGCTCCGCTGTTTTGCTGCTTATGTTTGATTCCCTGGAGCAGGTCAATCTATGATCACACAGTATTTCCATCTTCTTGACATCATTACCCTCTTTGTCTCTGTGCCTTGCCTGCAGGTTTGGACGAACTGCTGACATTGACTATTTAACGATAACAGGTGTCAACCTCTCATTGGACCCCAGCACGAAGCCATGGAGGAGCGTACGCACCACCGACCACTGCGGCACTCAGGTGAGGAGGGAGGAGAGAGACCGCAGAATGCGACAGGGTGAGGACGAGCGGAAACTGACAGTAGCGAGAATGGCTTGCTGTCAGCTCAAGGGTCAGATAGGTTGCGATTAGAGCCTCTGTGGACACGTAGAGGAGCGTGGGGACCACCAGCCACTGGAGCACAAGTGCGGACGAGGCGAGAAGTCGAGAGAATGGACGAGGAGGTGTGTGACAGGAGTACGAGCGAAAAACGGCAGACCAGTGAGGATCGAAACTGGGTGAGAGGAACAAGAGTGAGTATGAGGAGAGCGTTTTGCTCAGGATGGCAAGAGAACATGGGAGAAAATTGGCAGCAACTGTCTTGTAACTATTTGAGCGTGGTGCGGTTGGCGTTTCTTAGGAGAATCAGCAATGCTGCTCCCCGAACTGATGATGTTCGACTCTGCTTTTACTCCACCGTCATCTGACATGCACCTGACATGCATCTGACATGCACCTGACATGCATCTGACATGCACCTGAGATGCATCTGACATGCACCTGACATGCATCTGACATGCACCTGACATGCACCTGACATGCATCTGACTGCTACGCATCTGACTGCTATGCATCTGACGACTATTTTTGTGACTTTTATGCATCTGATTGTTGTCCGCCGATGAGCAGACATGGTCGCAGGGCAAGAAGGCCGATCTAGCGTGGTGGCTCTCTCTCTTCCATCACTACACTGTGGACCTGCCCTATGAGGACCTGCAGGTATGGTACCGTGTTAGAGTCGACCCTGCTCTCGTCTATCAATACATTGACGAGATACCCTATGAGATAGATCAGTTTTTAACCTGTTCGGTAGAATCGAGGTGCTCAAGTACCGTCCACCTTTAAACTGTGGACGTTTTGGCACTCGATCAGTTAAATAGGAAGAAGGGGGTTTGGAAATTAATAGTCTGCCAGCTTGGCTCAGCAAAAGTCTTGCTATAGTTTAGTCTCCAAACCATCTGTTCTTCTGTGGAATCAGCAAATAAACTGTTATTGCATCAATGTTTTCCTCACTCCATTCCTCCCCAACTCTGCATTGCTCTTCCTGTTGTATTCTCACCCCTTCGATCCTCTGTCACCTTTCCTCACCTTCCACCGTCTCACCTCATTCCCCATACCACCCCCTTTCATCCCTCATTCCGACCTCTCCGGCCCCCATTCCGTCATCTCCAGTCCCCATATCGCCCTCCCTACTCCCCGTTTTGGTCCTTGGACCCCAGATTCTACCCCACACTTGAGTCTATCATCCATTTTGTTCCCATGTATGAGCCTCATTCCTACTATCGTGTCTCCATCCCCACACTCCCCTGATTCCCTCAAATCGCAGAAGGACGAGCAGGCGAAACACCGCCCTATTATTTATGTGAACACAGCGAACCATCTTATGGGGGAGACAAACGCCAACCCCCAGTTCCCACTAACCACCTGGAAGCATTACCCCCTACACCGAGGGGGTCCCCCTGAGGCTGAGCTCTTTGCACGGAAGAGCATACTGAGCAAGCCCATTCTGTGGAACCCTTTCCCTGGATGTTTGAGTCGTTCTTGCACATGACTTGACTCGAAAGAGCCTGGACTGGCCACACGACCTGCTACACAATGGGGGTCGTTTTGGCCTTCTGCACACAAGAGCAGACTGAGCAAGCTGATTATGGTAGGCTTTTTCTCTAAGAGTGCTTTATGTTGCCCCCTACCCTTACTGAACGGGGGTCATGTTCAGCCATATCTTGTTTCATAGCAATAAATGCTTATATTGAAGTAAGGTTCTTGCAGAGGGAGGTGGGGGAAGGATGGGGGCTACGCACAGCACGGGATGGCACAACACGCACCTCAACTTGGGCCCTGACACATGTCATCCTCTTCAACACACATCCGCCTAACTCCCCCTCCCCTCCTGCGCTTCTCCCATTGTTCAATCTGACAGCCACAGCCACACCTAATATAATGAGGGTCCACGAGCTTCAAGGGAGCCACACCCACGAGGGACCAATACATGACATCCAGGTGATAGGAAATTACGGTACATGAAGTGGTGACTATGCACCTACTTCCAAGAAAAACGCGGTCTATAGCACATGGTCTATTGTGCCCACGAAGTATCGTACATTGCAAATTTGAACCTGGCGACGTCCTCTTTTCAGCTTTCGCCACTCCAAAGGGCGCAGAAGATCCCACAGCGCCACGCGCGGGCACTGCAGCACCACTTATTCGACTTTCGCCAGCATTGATCTGGATTCTGGACTGCACTCTGCGCCAGCATCTCAAGAATCTCTCATCTGCGACACGCATTTGTTCTTTAGTCTGTCCCAATTCTGCTGGATCAGAAACCGCATGCCCTTCATTCCGACGAGATTGTACTCGTACGTGTTACCACGGTTGTCGCGACCCTTTTTCGTCGCCCCGACCTCGTAAGAGCACTTGTCCGCATTCTCCTCTCCTGCTGCGTCGAACCATCCATACTCAGCATCAGGATCCGTCGCTGCCTCTGCGACTTCGTGCGCGATGGTCGAAACCGTCGCATCAATCGCAGGTCTCCCGTTGGGCGACGTGCTCTGCCCCCCACATCCGTCCGCGCACTGCCCGTGATGACCCACGAACGAATACACAACTCCATTCGATCCGATATAGTCCATGGTGTGATATCCACAATAATCGCTACAGTAACCGGGGACCATAACATCCTTGCTTGTCAAAAGTAAGTAGATACCGTGGGGATCATACGCGAATGCCTTTCCGGAGCCAATCTTGCTTGAAACAACTGCGAAGGCAAGAGAAAAGCACGTGGTTAGACCTAGATGCAGCATTACCTTCATTGCTGCGACTACGGATTCACAGCATATGCAGCTTCGTACGGGCAAGCGATATATGCTGTAGTTCTGAGACTAAGACTTCACAGCTCAACCCAGCGACGCGCGGCTTGAAGCCTAGATGGCTGCGTACCTTGCCAGACTGTGTTTTCGCCAAATTGCTTGCCGGCGGAGTAGTTGTCGTTGACAGTCCCCGAGAGTCGCACCTGCGTGTGTGGAAATTCGGAATGCGCAATCGAAGCATTGAGAAACAGTTGGTGGCCGTTGAGATAACAAGCAAAAGTAATCTGTCTTGTTCGCAAATCTGAAACGGCGACCGCAAGGTCCACTGACTCATTCGGGAAACGACGACCGCAAAAGCTCCAACTCTTTCGGGATGATGCCGCACGGCGAGAGCTGCGGCGCGCTTGGTTCGTGTATGGATAGCGCCGATTTCCACTCCAATGGATCGCCTTGCAATAGGGGCGTACCTTTCTGCTGACGTTCCTCTTCCCACCGTCCGTTTTCTGAAAATACGGCTCGTTGATCATCCGCCAGTATTTCACTTTCGGCTCCGACGGTTCCCCTTTTTGAGGCGCCTCAAAAGTCGTCTCAGTTCTTACGGGCGTACCTTTCTGCTGACGTTTCTTTTCCCGCCGTCCTTTTTCTGGAAATACGGCTCATTGATCATCCACCAGTATTTCACTTTCGGCTCCGACGGGTCCCCCTGCCGGTGAGAGTCCCTGCTCAGCGACCGGATGAAATTTTCAATCACATTCTGCCCTGATCCCGACGGCCAATTGCCGTAATAGATAATGTATACATTCACGGATGGGTTCCCGACCATGACGGGCCCTCCCCAGTACTTCATCGGAGCGGCACCGCCGCCGCTTTCGCCGCTTGCACGCTCTTTTTCAAAGTGGGCCTTCGTTTCGAACAGGTGAATCGGCGGCCGGCCGCCGTCGCGCTCGACGATGTCGGTTAGCCGGCGCTGTCGGCGGAGCTCTGCGTGCGCCTGACGCGTGCGGGCGACGCGCATCGGTGCACCGGCGGTTGCGATGGGAAGTGGCGAGAGGGAGACGACGGTGAGAAGAGCAAGCAGCAGTAGAACTCTACCCGTGAATGTCGACATTATTTTTCGCTAATGACAACGAAAAGTACGAGCCCAGGGATGGGAGGGAGAGGATTGTTTCTATGTATGGAGTGGTTTAACCGTCAATCTAGACTCGGCGAAGTGCGGACGTGAGTTTTTGGTGCAAACCAGAGCTGGAAACTGTCGAGATAGAATTGCTTGCACGAAGTGCGGATTCAAGTTACAGCATTTATTTGCCTGCAGATTTATGGCGAGATATTTGCGAAGGCAACGCAGGCAGGGGAGTCGCTGTCTGTGAGACGTCAGTGCTGCTCAGCTGAATGCCACAATTATTGCCGTGTTCTCTCAGCCCAGCTTCAGTTGCTTCAGAACGCGGCTCCGACTCGGAAGCTACATGCCACTGCCTTCGAACGTTTTCTGCGTGGGACCACTTTGGAACTCACTCAAACGAACAAAATCGTGAACAACTCTCGACTTGAAGCCATGCCGGACTCACGTAACCGTGAACGTCGGGCTTGCTGCGGCTCCAGCTTTCAATGTGCGCCTCCCGGCAATGTCCAAGTATTTCAATGCGCCACAGAAAATTCAGGTGTTGAATTCAGGTATTTTCTGGCTGGAAGCAAACAACTCATTTGAGCATGCTTCGCTGTATTGACTGGGCTACGACTATTGTAGTCAACATATTCAATACAAGAAATAAAGTAAGCATATATACTGTTGCATGACGCTATTGAGTCATGGAATACATAGATGTATGGATTCACACATATTAGGTGTCACATAAATTCATCCGATACGTCCTGTACGCTTTTCCTTTCCATCTTGGCGGCAGTATCTTTATTTGACGTCGTTTTCTTCTCCACCATTATGCCCTTGTAACTCCGTAACTCCACCTGCCGCTGCTTCAGAGCCTTCTCCTCCTGCTCCCGTCTAGCCTGATAAAGGAAAAAACACAAGAAAAGAGTATTAAAAAAATGGGGGAAAAAAAAAATCGCGGGCACCACCACGCTCATACTAAATGTGAGTAAGCATTGACTGATGGTACAGAAATGTTGCATAAAACGCTACACAAACAACCAAGTATCTGCTCTCACCTGTTCCCTCAGGACTGCCTTCCTTGCTGCTCGGTCCTCCACCTCCCGAGCTTCCTTCTCGGCTGCACGCACAGCGAGGAAAGCCCCAAGCCACCAGTGGAGCAGATATCGCATGACAAAGAGGGCAATAAAATTACGGGGATTTGATTAAGCATGCTGGTTTTGCATATTCCGTCCTCCAAGTTTGGTAACTGGGAAGAGGTGACTGCAAATTAGCTCATGCACATCTGGAGTGGCTTCCAGATGCAAGCCTGGAGGGCGTCTAAACCACCTTGGTCTTGTTCAGCCAGTTCACATGGAAACCAATTTAACCCCTTTACAGCCGATTCAACCGCTCTACACCCACTTCAATTCACCAACCTTGCAGGTCGGGCGTCTTCTCCATCTTGGTCTTGTTCAGCTGGTTTCCAACTCCATGAAGACCAGTTGAACCCCTGTATAACCACTTCAAACCCCTCTACATCCACTTCAATTCACACACCTTGCAGATCAGGCGTCTTCTCGACCTTGGTCTTGTTTGTCAGAATATATTTGCTGTCTAGCCTGCAGTGGGGTACTCTGTAATGAGTACAACCCAATTTAGGGCATTGTACTTGTATCCCAACTCTTGCTAGTGAAAACCCCTTCTCTTTCAAAAATCTCTCGATACTTTCCTAACTCACTCGAGCTCGATCACCTAGGTACCTCAACTATGGCTCCTAAGCCTACCTCTACTTAAACATTTTGAGATGGTATTAGAGCTTAACGCTCCTGGCCTGTGGGCCCACTCGATTCCGCTGCCCTATTGTGTGTCGTGCGCCCAGTGGCGCGCGGCCACCTATTTTTTCTTCCCGCCACGCGCTCGGGGCGCGTGGCGGTTTTCTGCCCGCCATGCGCCCCGAGGCGCGCGGCGGGTACCTACCTCGTCTCGGCGTCTTGGGGGCCCGCGCGCTGGCCCCGACCGTCGCCTCGTCGCGGCGTTTTGGGGGCCCGCACGCAGGTCCCTCCCGTCGCCTCGTCGCGGCACTTTCGGGGCCCGCGCGCCGGCCCCTCCCATTACCTCATCGCGGCACCTTAGGGGCCTGCGCGCGGTCCCCTCTTGTTGCCCGTCGAGGCACATTCGGGGACCGGCGCGGTTCCCCAGCACGTCGCCCTTCAGGGCACAATGGGGGCCGCGCCCTTCACCTCCCCTACCTCCTACTTTCCGCTGCAGCAGCCCCAGGAGCAGCCGCCCCAGCAGCAGCCCCAGTAGCTGCACCCCTTGGAGCGGCCGCCCCACCAGCAGCAACTCCCTCTAAAGCGGCCACCCCAGCAGCAGCAGCCCAAGGAGCAGCCGCCCCAGCCGCAGCCCCTGAAGGAGCCACCGCAGCAGCAGCAGCCCCGGGAGCAGCAGCCCCGGGAGCAGCAGCCCCTGGAGCAGCAGCAGCAGCGGCAGCCCTGGGGCAGCCGCCCCAGCAGCAGCCCCGGGAGCCGCCCCAGCAGCAGCAGCCCCGGGAGCAGCTGCCCCAGCAGCAGCAGCCCCGGGACCAGTCGCCCCAGCCGCAGCCACTGGAGCAGCCACCCCAGCAGCAGCCGCCTCTGGGGCGGCCACCCAAGCTGCAGC